AAGCCTGTGTTGGATCACTTTTATCAGCTTTTTCCAGCTCTAATTTACGCACTTCAAACTTTAACTTTTCCTGTTCATATTTTAACTCAGCTTCTTTAAGCCGTAACTCTCTTTCAACTTTTAACTCATTAACCATATATGTTGGGGCCGTCACACATTTCATAAAAGAAGCCTGCTGACCCTGATGATTTAGCCATCCATTATTGATGATGGGGAGGTTGATTACTTCCATATAATGCCCTTTTGTGTTAATCCAATGCATTGTGGCCGGGAAATTAAATAAACACCATCATCCCTCTGCATTTTTAATAATTTGCAGCTTAAACAGAGAATTTTTCATTTTAAGATGTGTTTAACAACTAAATAAATAATATAATCACATTTTTTGTTTGTTTTTTGTTTTGCCATATTTTAAACATCATCAAAAACACCGTGAAAATACATATTCAAACTTGTTCATACTTTGAAAAAAAAAAGCGTGTTATCGGTACATAAAATAAATCATGTGTGTTCATAGGGAGAATGTTACATGTAAACCTGATGATACAGGGATAAAAATGTTTATTGGTTGAAGAAATATGTTACATTTTGTTAAAAATACACCTGCCGATGAAACAACCTACACGTTAAAGAAATGAGCCTCTGCTGCAGAGGGGAAATAAAAGGAGAAAAAGGAGAGCGTAAAAAAGACGATTGACCATTAAACAAAAACTGAGAAGCTGAGCAATTACCAGTGAACATGCAGCGATGGACTGGAGCGATAAGAAACACCATCATCTTAAAATGACCCAGTTATTCGACTGAAACAGCCAGTCTACCCCAATCACCACCTTTTCCCCTCTCTGTTCAAAGCATAACTGACGCTACAAATAAAAACCAGTTAGAAACAGATGCATGAAGAAAAATTCATCCCAAACACACACTATGAGAAGTATACATTGCACAAGCGAATTATATCCTCCACCTCCTAAACAAACAAAGAAATCCTAAAAGGAAACTCTGCAGGAGCAGATGAATTAATAAGTGTTGCTGCTGCCTCTATAATTATTACAATAACATTAGGAGTCTGTTTAAATGCATATTTTGTGATTCACACGTTGAGGTGGCATAAGTGAGTCACATTTGTTTCCAACTGGAAAACGCTGGCATGGTGTCAGTGGAGCAGCATGTGACGGATGTGATGTCTGTGTGTTCTTTCTAACAGGTTTGCATTGGTGTATCTCTTTCTATATTTGAGGCGCTAAGCTATATCTGTCAGGTGTTTTCCAAGGTGCACTTTCAGAAGGCAACACTGTGCGACTGCAAGT